AATTCGCATCAATGAAATGCGCGGTTACCACCATATAACTTGCTCCAGTATATGGTGCAACCCATATGTCCGTAGTGAGTGATAACCTCTGCTTGCTCTCACTTATAATCCTCTTCATTGCTTGCTTACGACTAACAAACATCTGCACAATGTCTCTGGTTGCATTTCTCCGAGACTGAGGAGTGTATAGCATCACCTTTGAACAGAAGTGCTTCCACGCTAAGCTCTCTATGAAAGCTAAAGGTAGTTCTGCTAAAACAATCATCTCATTTGTAGCTTCCCTAACTATCGCTTCTGATACCCTAGCAACACCTAGATTCCCATCATTATCAGCTAGCACAGATTGATTACCTTCTTTGTTCGCAGCTCTCCATGCCATGAATGCTTTGCATCCTAATATATGCTTCCGCAGATTTGATGTGCCCGACTTTGTACTACAGCTGAATTCTCTTCAGCAGTAATGACATTTGCATTTGTCGTAGTCGTCTTCGTTCCTGGTGAAGTGCTTCCAGACTTTAGACCTTGTTCTCTTCCTCGATCCAGAACCACTGACTCTCACTCCTGACTTGTCTTTCTTCTTCAATTTTTTTGCAGGAATCGGTGTGACATCGTCTTGATCTTCTGTTTCAAAGTCATCGTCTTCATCCATCGGGGTCTGATTAACATCTGGTTCTTGTTCATCGCAAGATGCCATCTGCAACAACAATCAAATACAACGATTTACGATGACAAATTTCAAAACATATAAACCCAAAATAAAAATAGAAACTTCAAACCTCTGATTGATTCCGAGAAAATGCAGACAACGGCGGTGCCGGTGAAGTTGAGGAGATACCGTCGTGATTTAGGGTTTCCAGATTTATAATGGGGGATTTCTCTTTTGTAAAAGTGAAAAGAGGAAGAGAAGAAGGATCGGGCAATCGGTGTGTGTTGAGGAGTGGAATCGACAAAATGAAAAAAACAGTCGGCTAAACCTAAAATCATAACTTCAACACACACTTCGGATCTCTCGGGTAACCGATTTTATTTCGAATATAACCGGAACCGAACCGAGATCCACGGTTCTACTTGAGGCATATCCATCGGATATTTTACGTATATCCGAATCCGTAACCGAACCGGTTTTTCCGGGTCGGTTTCAGTTCGGGTATTCGGTTCCGGATAAAATGCCCAGGCTTAAAAAGGAATAAGAATTTTGCTTGATTAAATTTTTAAACATTAACTACTAACAAAACAAAGTAAATATTTAATTAATTTTTTATTCGTACCTAGCCACTTAAGTCCAACTAAAATAATCCGGAGCCGACATGAACATGAAATTACTTTCTAGACGTAATGTATTAATATTGACAACTAGGTGTAATCAGATTAATCAAATAAAAATAAAATAAAAAATCGGTCTAAACAGAAAATGAAAAATGTTGTTGACATCATGACATTTAAACTAAATATGAACTTCAGCATCAAACAAGACTGGCTAAATGATGTTTGATTTGATATATGCAATACCCTCCCGCAAAATATTACCTATAATATAAGGGATACGTATAAAATAGTTTCACCATATTTCTACAAAAACTATCATAAGAAATACTTTAACAAAAATATTAGTTTTTTTACAAATCTAGTACACTTAATTTAAAATTTCCAAACCTAACATCAATACTTGTGCGAAATACTTGCTTACCGTAATGAATACCAAAGAAAAATAATTTTGTTTGGATTCTCATTTCAATTTACAATTTAAATTTCCCAATAAAAAGAAATTGGGATCATTTAAGAAAAAGAAAAAAGAAATTGGGATCATTTGATATCGAATTTATGTTATTATTGAAAATTTAACTTAATGGTGGTGTTAAAAGTGATGCTCTTTCTAATCTTTCTTAGTCACTATTGGTCGAGGAAAGCCATAGTTTTCTTTCAACTTAACTTAATGGTGGTGTTAAAAGTGATGTTCTTTCTAATATTTTCTAGTCACGATTGGTCGAGAAAAGCCATAGTTTTCTTTCAACGGCGTCAATACTCACTGGCACTTGTCTTCTCCCCCTAACTAATGACCAGCCTCACGCCATTCATCAAGAACTCATCACCAATCACCCTCACACTAACCTCAAGGCTCCTACTCTCCTCCCACCTTCCTGACTTCTGAGGCCTTCTTTTCCGGATTCAGAAAGCAGGAATCGAATGAAGTTCAATGTTTATTATCAGTGATTAGGACTTTTATATCTATTGTCAATATATTTTTATTTATTTTGTTACTCATTATTTATGCAGCAAATTTTTGGGCTAAATCCAGTCTATACGTTTGCATTACTTCCGCTCTAGCTAGATTTTAAAGTTTCTATATCCGTAAAATTGTCGTCTGTCCAAAAAAAAAAATACGTAGTAGTGTTATGTTTAAAAAATATTTTAAACAAAATTGCCCATTAATTATCTAAACCATCATTTATTAAGATATTTTCACGATGGATGGTGTTTCGACATTTGCTGCTAAATACACAACATGATCGACATCTAACGTCCGTACAAACCCCACAGTATCTTTCATTGGCGTGTTCGAACTTGGGACACAAAGTGTCTTAGTCATATATCTTTTGATTTGAGTGAATGTTTGGAATTTTGTATGGAGTAGTAACTTAAAAACCAAAAAAAATAGGAGTACTCATTTAATATGAATTTATTGTATAAATAAATATCTAATTTTCCGTCCAACTAGTCACCAATTTCGTAGGGGACTCAGAAGTCTTAAACCCATAACAATTTAGATGGATTCCAAACTTTTCAATTACTTAAAAATATTCCATACTCGATTACATCTATGCTTGATGATTTTGCGAAACATGCTAAAAAAAAAAAAAATAATACATTCTGATTTTTTTTTGTGACAAAAACAACGTTATAGATTTAAAAAATGGTCACAACTATAGATCTTCGCACATTAGAATGGAGTGAATGTTAGGTTTTATAAAAAAAATAGTTTATCAGGTTTATTGTTAGTATTTTCAATTTTTATGAAGCAACAAGTATTATTTAACATCTTGAATTATTTACGAATCATCTTTCCCTATATTAGAAAATGGGGAAATGCTTCTTCTTCTTCGTTTATTGCCAGAAAAATGCGTTTTTACTTTGATATTCAAAGTAATAATTTTTTAATTCTCCGAATATAGAATGCTTTTTATCCGAGACACCGGACAAAAGAACATTAAGAGTAAAAATACATGTGTCGGAGAACTATAAAGTAAATATATGTGTCCCAAAATGATTAGAAACGGACAAAGAGGATACGAGAAAAGCCAGCTCACCTTTTATTTTATTTCTTTATTTTATAAACTACATTATACTCCTATCAAAAAAGTGTGAGAACAGTGATAATTTGGAAAATACATATCGGCATGTTTAAGTGCACGTAAACAAAGTTTTATACGAGAACATTCCTCGTGAGAACAGTGACAATTTATTGTAATTATTCGGTGGAAGAAAGATTGGCATCATTCAGTCTCTTACTCCATGCCTTACCAGTAACCCAAAAAAAAAAAAACTTTTACACAATACGTTTTCTCATGTAAACACTCAATATATTTCTTTAGCAAGCACAAAAAAAGGCAAACTTAGTAATTAGACGAGAAAAAACAAAAAGATTATCCATAATTAGTGGTTTTTACCCTGAGTTATCAAAATATTAAAATATATATATATATATATATATATCTAAATGTTTGGTACTTCATTCAATAATTTGAACAGTTACGCTACATAAAGACAAAAATCAAAAATTAAATCCAATTTTGTACAGAAACAATAACACCTAAATTAGTTTGATCTGAACCAGGCTATTAAAAAAACAAAGTTTCATACTTTGATGTGAACCACAAAAAGTAAAGTCTAAGACAGAGAGAATATACAATTTAGAAAAGTAGTATTTACAATATATATATATATATATATATATGTCGACTAAATTTGGTAGTCTATATGATACATTGATTGGAACAAATTTGACACAAAGGAAGTGAGCATGAGAATGAAAATCAGTACTGACTAAAACGTCATTAAATACACCACACATTTAATTAAATAAATGGGCCAATGGGTCCTTTAATCTTCCTACTTTATAAGGGCCAATAAGATGATACCAAAAAAGGAGAAAATCAAAGTGGAAAATGGAAAAGGACAGAAAAGACAATAAAGTTTTGTCTCTTGTACTAATCTACCAATTTTCTCCCTGTATTCTACGCCTACTCTGGCTTTGCCTGCTAGATTTTCTCAATACAAAATCCATGGTAAGCTATGCTTTTCGAGAGAAAAAAAATTTGGCCGAACTTTACTTATATTTGCATATACAAGAGGGTGGATATATAGTTGGGTTCCGATTTTATATTTGTATTCGTGTTTACCATAGCTTACCATGGATTTTATATAGTTGGGTTCAGTTCTTGAATTTCTTAGATATGTATTTCAGGGCCGATCCAAAATTAATTTTCATAAAAGACAAACTATATAAACACGAATACATAATAGAAGTTTGTTCCTATCAAAATTACATCAATTATCAAATTTTTATCCGAAACAATAAGTAACAAATTTGTTTTTCCGTCAGAAACTTAATATTTTCCAAGCAGTTTCGAACTCAAGAAACAAAATTTCTCACTCCTTCAGATTAGATATGATACGCCATTGGCCTATTAGTTTCTTGATATATTTCAGGTAACTTATATCATCATCTATCTTTATAAAAGTCACAAACCCCGGAGTATATTGTTTGCCGGCTCTACGGGAGTACAAGTTAAAGCCTTTGTGAGACATACCTAAAAGATGTTTTCAGAGGGTCAAAACTCAAAAGACTCACTACACGAGTTAAAATAATCTCATGTAATTTTGGTTGTTTTATCATAATAATGAATAAAATAATATGATTGTTCAAACTTCAAATACGAAAAAAAAAAAATCTTAAAACCAAAAAAAAATTGATTTTCTTTTGAAAGTGCGATCATGTTTAGCTAATTTACCCAAAATGTTCAGGGGTTTAAAAATAACAACGCAATAAATGGAACCTTTTGTTACGTTCGTATTTGTACAAACAACAAAAAAGAACGAAATAAAATAACCTGTACTTTACTTACACATCACACATTTGGAAACTCAATCACACGTAAAGAAGAAATTTCCCCCACAAAAAACAACAAAACGACACCGTCTCCCATCTTTACCGGGAAATCGTTCGCCGGCCGGAATTCGCCTCCTTCCAAATTCCGATTTCCTTATAATTTTCCAAGAAGAAAGGTTCTTCACACGGAAACGAGTCCCAGAACCCATCGATTTTGTGATGATCATTCACGTCTAGCAAAAGATCGGGAAGATCGGAGAAAGCGTCGTCGGCGAGTGGAGATGACGTCATCGATGACGTCGCCGTGCTCGAAGGAGACTCCGGTGCTTTCCATTCCACGGCGGCTGCTGCGGCTGCGGCTTGAATGTCTTTCGGGTCGGCGCTTGCCGGTCTCGGCAAATGGTAAGCGAGCTCCGGGAAGTTGAGGTGAGCAGAGCCGCCTTTAATGGCTAAAGCCGCCACGTCGTGTGCACGCGCCGCCATCTCCGGCGTAGAGAAAGTGCCTAGCCAGATTCTTGATTTCTTTCTTGGCTCTCTGATTTCGGACACCCATTTTCCCCATTGTCTCATTCTGACCCCACGAAAATTTGGATGCTTAGAAACACCCTTTTGCTCATTTTTACTCTTCGAATTCTTTCCGGTTCTCTCCGGCGCCGGTGACCGGAGATTACGTTGTGATCCTAGAGGAGGAGATGAAGAGTCTTGCATCTAAAGAAATTAAATGTAGAAATTTTGGTGGGAAGATTGAAAAAGAAAAAAGAAGATTTCTTTTTAATTTTTAATTTTTGGGTTGAGAGTAGGAATAGTTGTGAGGACTGAGGAGGTGAGATTGGTTTGCTTGTTCTAATATATACATCCAAACACGTAGCAATTATTCTTGTGTGTATGTTTTTATTTATTTTCATTGTATATAAATTAAATTGTCAAAAAGCTAAAAAAAAAAAGACTTGACTGCGTTAAGATCTTTTTTTTTTTCTTTTTCTTTTTGTTTTGTACTGCAATATGATTGCTTTACTTTATTTATTGTATAATATTCATTATTTAGGCCTGAATTGGACACTTGTTCGTTTTACCACCCTCGTGTACTGTTATCATTTGTTTCTCCTAAATAGTTTTAGTCCTTCCAAATTAAAATATACGTACCTGACGCATGTCGGATTAAATTTTAGTTCCGTTGTTCTGACTGGATTTGAACGCATTTTAAATGAAATATTGATTTATAGAAAATTTTGAAACGGTCTAAATTGAACTAACCAGAATAATTACGTTTAAAATAAAGTTCATACTATTTTATGAATATAGATGTTAGAATGTTACCTCAACAATACATTAAGAAATAGATTAAAAAATGAAAATACATGAACTTTACATGATATTTGACATTGATAGTAATTGAAAACTACTTTAACAGTCAATCCCAAAAAAGGGGTATAAAACTCGTAGTTTATGAGTAGTTTTGAATATACATAGCAGATAATTTCATTTGGTTAAGCATGGATGTCTTTTAAGAGATATTTTAAATTTGTTTCTGGTTTCGATTTTAGGAGATGTATGAGACTGATGTTTTGACACTTTAGAAAGTATATATTTATATATATATATAATATAGTTATTATTATATTCTCACATATGCTTGAGCCATCATTTCATTAAAGTTTTTTAAAATCTAATTCAGACTAGATCCACGATTTCTGCATGGGAAATAACTCTAGATCTAGTCTTTTCTGTGTTTGTAGATATTTTCACACGTACAGTGAATATTAGGAAACAAATTAGATTTTAACGGGAAGTTGTGGGCTCCTTAATTATTTTTATTTTAATTTCACAAATTTTCTTCTGATTTCCATCTTTTGTTTTTTTCCCGAAAATGTTATATTTTCGTTTTCCCGACCATGACCCATGTCTGACTACAAAGGTGACGCACGTTTTATACTTGGATTATGTTTGAAGAAGACAACAATTAATATTAAAGGGCACTTGGTGGTGAATGGTGGTGGTGATATACCCATATTACTAGCTCTAATATCAATTAAGTTTTTTTTTTTAGAGGATTTTCATTATATATAGAATAAAGTAAAAGTTACATAGAATCAAAAAGGATCAGTTACAAACTAAGCGGCAGCTGTTTAGGGAAGGGAATGCTTGGTAGAGACCTCATCAGCATCAAGTCCAGCGAATCACCAACGGGAAGAGAGTTGAAAAAACACCTTGTTTAAGACCAAAGAAGCATCAGATTAATATTAATTTATTAGTGAATATCTTTAAATCCAGTTTTTCTAATCTCATAGTTAATTATCTTAGTGCATGCAAGCTTATAATTATTGTAATTTATAGTAAAATTCAACCAAGTAAAAACTACATAAGGTAAAATTACAGTAGTATATATAGATATATATATATGTTTACATTACACGTTATTGAATAATTGAATTCTCATCAGTTTAGCGTGTATACTCCACGTACATACGTTAATTATATTAGTTAACATAAAAAAATATGAAATTAAAGAGGGTTTAAGAATATAATATACTTACTAATTCAAAAGGTAAGAATTTGGAAGGAAACCACAACTACTCATTATAAGGTTCACCGCTTTTGAATTAGGTTAACTATACAAAACGTATGAAAAAATATGAGTCGTCGTCATTTTTTTTTTATCAAATCTATTAGCATCCAATACTCTAGCTTGATTTCATTTATAGAATTTTTTTTTTGTCACAGTACTGAACATACTGTACATATATAGTTTGAAGTTTAGAGTTATTGATCGGAACTTTGTTTTAGACAAAACGATAACTCTTTTTTTTGTTTGGTTTCACAAAATGATATAGCTTCGTATAACAATAAATGAGACAATAGGAAGAACTATATAGTCAATTTTTGTACGTAGTCGCGTTTTCTTAAAGTCTATAAACTATCGATGAATTATGTTTTGCATTTGGACATTTGCGAATATGCGAATAATAATTGTTGAAGTTTTATAGTAAAGATATTGAGTAGAAGATTGCTACGGACGACCCACGTACGCAAAACGACATGAACACACGTAAGTTATGTATATGTACAGAGTATGATGTTGAGAATGTATACACCAGCTATACATTATAATTTACCACTTGGTTAAGACTTAAGAGCGAGCAAGTTACGTATTAGTTTTTGCTCCAAAAAAAAAATTTATGTATTAGTTTTATCGTGGCGTCCATTTGAAAATTAAGACGACATTAACTTTTGTTTCGACATAACGAAATTAAGTAGAAACACGTTTTACATATATAGTTTGTAAAGAAAATGTATGAGTATGACATACTCCCTCCGTTTTTACTTATATCATGTTTTAGAGGTTTTTTTTCTCAAATATTTGATGTCTTCAGTTTTCAGTTTTTATATTCTATAGAGTATTTTCATATTGGTTAAATTAAGTTTGAATAAATAATAAATGATGTTTTTAGTATAGAAAATAAAAATGAACTGAATCAATCATTTTAGAACGGAGGGAGTATGACAAGTGTAATTCTTTTATGAAATCCCCATTTGTTTAGTACTGTAAATTTGTTGTGATTTTTGTTTGTTTCAGATAACTATTTAAGTTTCGACGATATTATTTATTCCAAAGAAAATCTCATACATAGAGATAATAAATACATATACAGAATACAGTAGTATATACAGTGCCGTGCGAAGGTTTATAGAAACTTAAAGCAAACTAAAAAAATAGGGTTTTTTTCATTTAAAAAAGGTTTTCTAACAAAAAAAATATAATATAATTTTAAAATCATATAAAATATTCAAAAATAAAATTTTAATCTAAAAAAACTAATTAACACATAATCTTTCTTCCTTCTTTTTCAATAAACTTTTTCACCAAACTCTCATAATCGAGGTCCTTAACTAGTTTTCTTTCTATAGATATGATAGATAGGCCATTCAATCTTTCTTGTGACATAATTGATCGCAACTAAGACTTTATCAACTTCAACTTTGAAAAACTTCTTTCAGTCAAGGCAACTGAAACTGGAATCGTCAGCAATATCTGATAAGCAATTTATGAATTTTTTTTTTCTCTTGGGCTTTAGGGTTTTGGTCTTATTTTAGGATGTTATAAAGCCGATAATCTAAACAAATCTTAATCAATTTCCTAAAACTATTGGGAGAATGTAATCTTAATCTATTTCCTATATCTATTCCTTTTTTCTCTCTTATAAACAAAAATAAGAAAACATTTTATGTAAAAAAAAGATTTCATGCCAACCATAAACCACTTAACCACCTCTTAAGAAAATGGGGGTCCTGAAAAATTAACATATTTTGGGGGCTTGAGGCGAAAGCCTTTTTCACTACATGGTAAACACGGCTCTGAGCATATATAACTCACCTATAAATGGATATAGTGTTTAAATATATATTTGTAGGAAGTCAAATTAGTTGATGAAAACATAACAATAAGTAAATATAATCCGGGTTTCTTAATTTCTTAACACTTTAACTACTAAACAGAACCGTGCCTTATGTGTTGGGAGTTAGGCATTAGCCTAAAGCCACCAAAAATTAAGAAAAATTTAAGGCCACAATTTTATTAACTAGATTCATATACATATATATATATATAGTTAATTAATGAGATAAATATTGTTGGGTTCTTTTTTAGAGAGAAGTTCATATTCTATTATTATTGTTATTAATATTATTATCATAAATAAAGAGATAAATAAAAAAAGAAATTTAACTAATTGAAACAAACATAATTAAAAAAGTTATCCCACATTGATATTCTAAAAGAGGAGGTATATAATTTTTCTTCAATAAATAGCAACCTCATTAAGATTTTTTTTGAGCTTAAAACCTACATTCAAAACAAAGTTTGGGTTTGATCAGAACTACTGGTTTTAACCATAGATATTTACAAAATTTTAATTAGTTTTTTTTTCTGATTTTACCTAGGTTTTTAAAAATGAGGTTTTAATAGCTAATCCAGATTGACTTGTCAATCGATTCTCGATTACACTTCACAAAGTTGTCGGCTAAACTCATTGATATCGGCCAAAGACGATATTTTTATAGTTTCAATTATTATTATTATTGTTGTGTATGTTTTAGATAATATTTTATACTAATCTTTTATAAAGGCCATATTTTTTTAGTTCGCCTAAAGCCACCACAGATCTAAGCACGGCACTGCTACTAACCATTAGAAAATGAAAGATGAGTGCCAATTTGAAATTGTTTTTATTTTCTAAGACAGTTGGTTGATAAAGAGGATTACAACTAAAACATTATTTTGCACTATATTTATTTACCTACCAAATTCGGTTATTAAATGTTCATTAAATATAAAGGTCTTGAAAATTTATGTCGGGAAATGATGCTAATTGAAAACAAAGCATACTCCTAAGAAATTCACATGCATGTTTCAGGTTAAGCAAACTTCTTTTAATATTGATGATGATATAACACTTCGATTCCTTGGAATTTACGCCTTACATTCAACTAGTGGGTTAAACTAGTACTCTTTTTTTTGTTAAAGGGGTTAAACTAGTACTCCATTTTAAAAGAACCAACGATTACTCCTATTTTAGAGCCGAACACGCTTTCATACATATATATACATTAAAACCTCTACAAAAATTAATAATGTTGAGAACATAATATTTTATTAATTTATTGTGATATTATTAATTTATAGAGAAAATTTGCATTCCACCTATAATTTTTTAAAAATATCTTTAGAATAATATTATATTTTAAAATTTTAACAAATTTTGTAATGTAAATTATGATTAACAATCATAACTATCACAATAAAATAGTTTTTATACCATATTGGATTGTCCATATAAAA